TACTGATCAGACTTACATCCTCTGTGGTCGGGTACTGACTGATACACACACTCTCCGGCCAGTCAGCAGCCATTGGTAACCGCTGGTATAGTTCTTCTGTCAGGTAGGGCATGAACGGACTGAGTGCTCTCAGATATATGTTTACACAGAAACACAACACCTGTCTGGCAGTATCAGCTCTACTGTCATCTCCTCTGAGTACGTGCTTCACAGACTCCTGTAACAAAATATCAGAGGCAAATGGGTCCTAACTGTCACCTAAAACATTGATTTATTTGGCCCCTAGATACTGCAAGTGGTATTATCAGACACATTATCTCCAGAATCGGTGTTTAACCTTATGGCCTTGCCCTCCAGCCTCATCGTGGTCTGCCCCTTCTTGATTATGAATTCTGATCCTCATCATCTACAGATCATTTTATGGAATGTTGTTTTTGTAGGGATCAAGGAATCTGAACAATTAAGAACAGTTCAATACATGTTGCAAATCAGTATGCAATTCATCATCAGAATGCTTAACAGAGTACAGACTGACCTGAAGTACAAATAACCTCTTTCACTATGTGACTATACATTGTGACGTCACCCAATGCATATTGTGACGTTTGTAATAAAATCATCTAATTAGTACGTTTAACTCATCCACCCCTGAAATTTCATAATGGACTATTCCAACCTTTGAATTGGAAGAGTTCATTTGTGTCTTCAGGGATGAATGAGTTAAAGTTAGCTACTACGAATCCATCTGATCCACAAAGCCTGGCTGTTAGGTATCTGGTGTCCTATGTGCCCCTCAACAGTAAATGAACAAGGATAATTATACATTACTGTATGACTGAAAACAAGGTTATAAGATTCATTACAGCCCAGGGTTTTTATGATGGGAACATGAGGTGATGTTGTAGGGAGGCCGCTATGGTTTACCAGATATATATCACAGAAGTCATTGATCCAGAACGTCTGCAGGCTCTCCGTCACAACATGCAGCTTATAGTCTGCAAAGTGCTTGTCACATGACATGACCATGTGACTCAGTCGACTGAGAATCCATTGGTCCATCAAGTTGGTCACCGTGACATCAGACTACAAGGTAGAGGTCTAAATTAGTAAATGGAAATATTTCAAAATCATCTTTGTAGCTTCAACTAAATATGTGTATAAGGAACACACTTGTATACTTAGTTACATTTCACAACGTTTAATAAGCTATCAAAGAGGTTAGATAACAAGCACACCCTCCTAATATACACAATTTAATAATTAATGTAAAATTTACCATTACATAAGTTAATGTACAATGTTAATGCTTAAGATAATTTAATGAATTTTTTTTCACACCTATAGAAGAAGTGACCTATACCATTATATACCACATAACTAGGAAATCTCACCACCGCTCACGTTACAAATCAAGGGTCACCTTGTTGACCTGAGGTATGACCCCAGATTTCAACTGACACTGAATGCAATCTTTGTATCATGTTTATATTTCCATACATACAGAACATTTGGTGATGGAATATGTTGGAGTTGATAGAAAATACTCCTGTCAGGAAGGAAAAGCTGAGCACCACTTCACTTATACATTTTAATTTTGACATTATCTGACTTGTGATATAGATAGCTATAAAATACACTCCTCAAGAGGATATCTCACAGCCATGAAACACCGTCGGAGGTAAGTGGTTTAACACTCCTCAAGAGGATATCTCACAGCCATGAACCACCGTCAGAGGTTGTTGGTTTTACACTCCCCAAGAGGATATCTCACAGCCATGAAACACCGACAGAGGTTATTGGTTGTACACTCCTCAAGAGGATATCTCACAGCCATGAACCATCGTCAGAGGTTAGTGGTTGTACACTCTTCAAGACGATATCTCACAGCCATGAACCATCATCAGAGGTTAGTGGTTGATCACTCCTCAAGAGGATATCTCACAGCCATGAACCACCGTCAGAGGTTAGTGGTTTTACACTCCGCAAGAGGATATCTCACAGCCATGAACCACAGTCAGAGGTTAGTGGTTTTACACTCCGCAAGAGGATATCTCACAGCCATGAACCACCCTCAGAGGTTATTGGTTTTACACTCCCCAAGAGGATATCTCACAGTCATGTACCACCGTCAGAGGTTATTGGTTTTACAATCCTCAAGAGGATATCTCACAGCCATGAACCGCCGACAGAGGTTATTGGTTTTACACTCCACAAGAGGATATCTCACAGCCATGAACCACCATCAGAGGTTAGTGGTTTTACACTCCCCAAGAGGATATCTCACAGCCATGAAACACCGACAGAGGTTATTGGTTTTACACTCCACAAGAGGATATCTCACAGCCATGAACCGCCGTCAGAGGTTGGTGGTTTTACACTCCCCAAGACGATATCTCACAGCCATGAACCACCGACAGAGGTTATTGGTTTTACACTCCCCAAGAGGATATCTCACAGCCAGGAAACACCGACAGAGGTTATTGGTTTTACACTCCACAAGAGGATATCTCACAGCCATGAACCACCGGCAGAGGTTAGTGGTTTAACACTCCTCAAGAGGGTATGTCACAGCCATGAACCACCGTCAGAGGTTGGTGGTTTTACACTCCTCAAGAGTATACCTCAGACCATGAACCACCGTCAGAGGTTAGTGGTTTAACACTCCTCAAGAGGGTATGTCACAGCCATGAACCACCGTCAGAGGGTAGTGGGTTTACACTCCTCAAGAGGATATCTCAAAGCCATGGACCACCGTCAGAGGTTAGTGGTTTTACTCTCCTCAAGAGGATACCTCAGACTATGAACCACCGTCAGAGGTTGGTGGTTTTACACTCCCCAAGACGATATCTCACAGCCATGAACCACCGACAGAGGTTATTGGTTTTACACTCCCCAAGAGGATATCCCCCAGCCATGAACCACCGTCAGAGGTTGTTGGTTTTACACTCCTCAAGAGGATATCTCAAAGCCATGAACCACCGGCAGAGGTTAGTGGTTTAACACTCCTCAAGAGGGTATGTCACAGCCATGAACCACCGTCAGAGGTTGTTGGTTTTACACTCCCCAAGAGGATATCTCACACCCATGAACCACCGTCAGAGGTTAGTGGTTTTACTCTCCTCAAGAGGATACCTCAGACTATGAACCACCGTCAGAGGTTGGTGGTTTTACACTCCTCAAGAGGATATATCACAGCCATGAACCACCGTCAGAGGGTAGTGGGTTTACACTCCTCAAGAGGATATCTCAAAGCCATGGACCACCGTCAGAGGTTAGTGGTTTTACTCTCCTCAAGAGGATATCTCACAGCCATGAACCGCCGACAGAGGTTATTGGTTTTACACTCCCCAAGAGGATATCTCACAGCCATGAACCAATGTCAGAGGTTGGTGGTTTTACACTCCTCAAGAGGATATCTCACAGCCATGAACCAATGTCAGAGGTTGGTGGTTTTACACTCCTCAAGAGGATACCTCAGACCATGAACCACCGTCAGAGGTTGGTGGTTTTACACTCCCCAAGACGATATCTCACAGCCATGAACCACCGTCAGAGGTTAGTGGTTTAACACTCCTCAAGACGATATCTCACAGCCATGAACCACCATCAGAGGTAAGTGGTTTAACACTCCTCAAGAGGATATCTCACAGCCATGAACCACCATCAGAGGTAAGTGGTTTAACACTCCTCAAGACGATATCTCACAGCCATTAACCACCGTCAGAGGTTAGTGGTTTTACCCTCCTCAAGACGATATCTCACAGCCATGAACCACCGTCAGAGGTTAGTGGTTTTACACTCCTCAAGACGATATCTCACAGCCATTAACCACCGTCAGAGGTTAGTGGTTTTACACTCCTCAAGAGGATATCTCACAGCCATGAACCACCATCAGAGGTTAGTGGTTTAACACTCCTCAAGAGGATATCTCACAGCCATGAACCACCGACAGAGGTTAGTGGTTTTACAATCCCCTAGAGGATATCTCACAGCCATGAATTACCGTCAGAGGTTAGTGGTTTTACACTCCTCAAGAGAATATCTCACACCCATGAACCACCGTCAGAGGTTAGTGGTTGTACACTCCCCAAGAGGATATCTCACAGCCATGAACCACTGTCAGAGGTTAGTGGTTTTACACTCCTCAAGACGATATCTCACAGCCATGAACCACCGTCAGAGGCTATTGGTTTTACACTCCTCAAGAGGATATCTCACACCCATGAACCACCGTCAGAGGTTAGTGGTTGTACACCCCCCAAGAGGATATCTCACAGCCATGAACCACTGACAGAGGTTAGTGGTTTTACACTCCCCAAGAGGAGATCTCACAGCCATGAACCACCGTCAGAGGTTAGTGGTTGTACACTCCCCAAGAGGATATCTCACAGCCATGAATCACCGTCAGAGGGTAGTGGTTTTACACTCCTCAAGAGGATATCTCACACCCATGAACCACCGTCAGAGGTTAGTGGTTGTACACCCCCCAAGAGGATATCTCACAGCCATGAACCACCGTCAGAGGTTATTGGTTTTACCCTCCTCAAGAGGATATCTCACAGCCATGAACCTCAGTCAGAGGTTAGTGGTTTTACACTCCCCAAGAGGATATCTCAAAGCCATGAACCACCGACAGAGGGTATTGGTTTTACACTCCCCAAGAGGATATCTCAAAGCCATGAACCACCGACAGAGGGTATTGGTTTTACACTCCCCAAGAGGATATCTCACAGCCATGAACCACCATCAGAGGTTAGTGGTTTAACACTCCTCAAGACGATATCTCAACACCGTCGGAGGTAAGTGGTTTAACACTCCTCAAGAGGATATCTCACAGCCGTGAACCACAGTCAGAGTTTAGTGGTTTTACACTCCTCAAGAGGATATCTCAAAGCCATGAACCACCGTTAGAGGTTAGTGGTTTTACACTCCTCAAGAGAATATCTCACACCCATGAACCACCGTCAGAGGTTATTGGTTTTACCCTCCTCAAGAGGATATCTCACAGCCATGAACCACTGACAGAGGTTAGTGGTTTTACACTCCCCAAGAGGATATCTCAAAGCCATGAACCACCGACAGAGGGTATTGGTTTTACACTCCCCAAGAGGATATCTCAAAGCCATGAACCACCGTTAGAGGTTAGTGGTTTTACACTCCTCAAGAGAATATCTCACACCCATGAACCACCGTCAGAGGTTAGTGGTTGTACACCCCCCAAGAGGATATCTCACAGCCATGAACCACCGACAGAGGTTAGTGGTTTTACAATCCCCTAGAGGATATCTCACAGCCATGAATCACCGTCAGAGGTTAGTGGTTTTACGCTCCTCAAGAGGATATCTCACAGCCATGAACCTCAGTCAGAGGTTAGTGGTTTTACACTCCCCAAGAGGATATCTCAAAGCCATGAACCACCGTTAGAGGTTAGTGGTTTTACACTCCTCAAGACGATATCTCACAGCCATGAACCACCGTCAGAGGTTATTGGTTTTACCCTCCTCAAGAGGATATCTCACAGCCATGAACCACCGACAGAGGTTAGTGGTTTTACAATCCCCTAGAGGATATCTCACAGCCATGAATCACCGTCAGAGGTTAGTGGTTTTACACTCCTCAAGAGGATATCTCACAGCCATGAACCAACGTTAGAGGTTATTGGTTTTACACTCCTCAAGAGGTTATCTCACAGCCATGAACCACCGTCAGAGGTTATTGGTTTTACACTCCTCAAGAGGTTATCTCACAGCCATGAACCACTGACAGAGGTTAGTGGTTTTACAATCCCCTAGGGGATATCTCACAGCCATGAACCACCGACAGAGGTTAGTGGTTTTACATTCCCCAAGAGGATATCTCATAGCCATGAACCGCCGTCAGAGGTTAGTGGTTTTCTTGTTTGTGAATGGCACATTGTAGTGCCAGATTACAATATATAATATACACATCTGACCTTGAAGTTTACTGCGGGGGTGAAGTCTGGTCCAAGGTTTGTCTTGACGAAACTAAAGCCCTGCCAGATCTTGTTACACATTCGTCGCTTACTTTCTATGTGGCCCATGTCTAGGTTTACTGCTTGAGCTGCAACAAAACAAACAATCTGACAATGCGATGTTCTGTGTATTTACACACAGTGAAAACAATGAGAAATATTCCACCCATGAGTGAAATGTTATATCAAGACACAAACGTGATTCTGTTAATAATGCTCTTCTATACAAAGACATGAGCTCCCATGAGCAGATAGTCCACCTCCTCCAAAATAGGTAAGACAAAACTGCTGTATTGCAACGTCACTATAAGAAAATATCACAATTACAACATTTATTGTATATTATTTTTCACAGTAAGCCCTGCTCTTTGATTGGCCAGTTTACAGTGAAAATTACAAACAGTGTAATTTGTCACAGTAGAAAAGTCTCAATTTCATTTTCACCATAAAACCTGTAAAAATGTTATTAAAACCTGTGAAAATAAAATAAATAGGTATAAGACAATTAGACAGTATGATATTATAAACCATTGCTCAGCAATATAGTACATAATAAACTATTACTAAAACCTTACAACTATAATCAATGGAGCAGAGCCCAAACTGCAATCTGTCTGTACCACAGGGTAATATAGTACATAATAACCCATTATCTATAATATTACAACTATAATCAATGGAGCAGAGCCCAAACTGCAATCTGTCTGTACCACAGGGGAATATAGTACATAATAAACCATTATCTATAATATTACAACTATAATCGATAAAGCAGAGCCCAAACTGCAATCTGTCTGTGCCACAGGGTAATATAGTACATAATAATCCATTATCTATAATATAACAACTATAATCGATGGAGAAGAGCCCAAACCGCAGTCTGTGTGTGGCACAGGGTAATATAATACATAATAAACCATTCTCTATAATATTACAACTATAATCAATGGAGCAGAGCCCAAACTGCAATCTGTCTATACCACAGGGTAATATAGTACATAATAAACCATTATCTATAATATAACAACTATAATCGATGGAGCAGAGCCCAAACCGCAATCTGTCTGTACCACAGGGTAATATAGTACATTATAAACCATTATCTATAATATTACAACTATAATC